ACACACACACACACACAGACACACGCACTGTTTGAACAATATTCAATCATATTAGATGTATTTAATGACTGTAAATGCATAATGATGACCCTAAGCTGTGTGTGCTCACTGTGCATGTGTCGCCCCCTGCTCGGTATTACATGTAACAACAGTTGTGTGTTTTCCAGTTAATGAAGGAGTTCCCTCTCCTCAGTATGTTCAACATCCACGAGAACCTGCTGGAGTCGTTACTAGAGCTCCAGAACTACGCCGACGTCCAGGCCGTTCTGGCCAAGTACGACGGTGAGGGTCTTAAGCGCTCACATTAATGCTTTGAATTACGTTCAGGAAGGAATACAAAAACTTTATTTGGTATATAAATTGGTCGTCAATGTCAAACAGTACCGTGCAAGTGATTTAATGCAAAGCTAAATCTTAAAGTATTGATTTCCAGATTCAAAAACATAATCGATTCCTTAGAAAAGTCTCACGGTCTTCAGAGGTTCAATAAAGCTTTAAAACTGGGTTATGTATTTTGAAATGAAAAATGAATGTAATAATGAATTACCTAAGCAAAAACCAATGCTTGAAACGTAAGGGTTTACTTTGTGAAACGGCCCACATGTGTGATGTAATTGCTGTAGATAGACAGGAAGTAGTTGTAGTCGTATACATGCAACAATGACTACTGTTACACGCACAAAATATGAAGTATCATATTCCTGATGTTCACATGGCGAAGGAAAATAAAGATTCCCAGAATGTTCCTGATCGCATGCAGAAGTCAAAAAAGGACATTTTCAAAGTGTTCCACCTGTTCCTAAAATCCACCTTCTTTAAAAAGTCGGCGTTGTGATAAACGATCATATCCAAAACCTGTTTGTGTACAATTCATGAACAGACTGTGTATTACAAGATGTAGTAAACAAAAACAAACAATGGAGATGCATATTCTGAGATGTCTGCATGTCCAAAGATCCTAGAAGCAAAAACATATCAGCATCTCCGACGTGCCTTAATTTGAATAATATCTAATTGTAATATGTTGTCAACATGACCCGTGTTAAATCAACGTCATGGCAACAAAGTAGACTATAAGTGTGCATGGAAACATAGTTATTGTTCCGTTGTATACCTAGTGTTTCCACCTGCAGCTCCAAAGTCTTTCCCTGTTCACTAACCTCCTCCCTCGTGTCTCCTTGTGTCTCCCCCGCAGATATTAGCCTCCCCAAATCTGCAACAATATGCTACACAGCAGCGCTGCTCAAAGCCAGGGCGGTTTCAGACAAGTGAGTATCGCTTCCCTCCGTCACACACACACACACACACACACACACACACACACACACACACACACACACACACACACACACACACACACACACACACACACACACACACACACACACACACACACACACACACACACACCTGCTCACAATGAGAGGAGATAGACATGTATAGTAAGGGTCCTCGGCTCATAGAAACAGCCGGATGCTAACTTAACTTGTTGGGCAATTTGCACAATTAGCATAAGTTGCATTATCTAGCCTGTGTGGATAATATTTTTTAAATGTTTTGGCCGATTTGGATCATTTTGGAGTGGTTTGGGGGCTTTTTGAGTCCATTCCTGACATATTCAGGATGAAAAATGGCAGTTTTGACCAGCAAGTAGCCATGTTTGTACTCTCTGTGGGCTGACTTGTGAGCAGTGTTAAGACTATTGGATGTAGAGAGCACAAGATGTACATTATTATCTCGACTGTGGACAATTCTTTTAAAAATAATTAGGCAATCTGTCCAATCCAGATGATCAAGAGTCCCCGACGTCTTCCAAATCAGCTCACAGAGAATACACATATTGGTATTTTCTGTTGGTAGATTGAAGAAAACAGCCCATTTTTAAACGCATGTATATTCCCACTAATGTTGCTCTTAGTTGCTTTCTCCTTTTATCAGTTTCTGTGTGAACATTACATCTGCTGTCTTTGATGAAGAATATACCGTAACATCAAATAAAACTTCCCTTGTGACGTTTTGGAGTCTGCTCCTTCTCTCTTCCTCTGATGCATTCAAACACTAAATGCAACTTTATTTAAAACAGCAATGTGACGGTCTCACTCTGAGCTGCTAGTCTGTGACAAATGAGACTCTGGATGTCATCGTGCTTCATTCACTTTGATCATAAGAGAGGTTACTGACGTGTGTGTGTGTGTGTGTGTGTGTGTGTGTGTGTGTGTGTGTGTGTGTGTGTGTGTGTGTGTGTGTGTGTGTGTGTGTGTGTGTGTGTGTGTGTGTGTGTGTGTGTGTGTGTGTGTGTGTGTGTGTGTGTGGTGTGTGTGTGTGTGTGTGTGTGTGTGTGTGTGTGTGTGTGTGTGTGTGTGTGTGTGTGTGTGTGTGTGTGTGTGTGTGTGTGTG